ACTGTGCTTGCTACAGGCCTGTCTTCACCTGGATTAGTTATGGTGATGTCATTGAACCCACCTACATTATAACGAGTATACAGAGGGACAGGACACCTCAGTTCCACCTGGTTGGCCAACACAAGTCTTAGCACTATAATTGCATCTTTTATGGTTGATTTAAATTGAGGACTTGCTTCCTTTCTCACTCTGAGCAACAATAAAGACATTTAGATATTTTAAAATGTAGACATCCTATGTTCTACTTACATCTGTCATCTTTGATTTTTTTTAAGATAGTCAGGTAGTTCATACAACTTAAAACATTGTTCTTCATGTTAATGGAATTTTAAGAAGTATTTACCCAATGCTTAGAAGGAAAGCAGAACATAAAAACTGTCACTGCAGGGAGGAATCTTGGAAATGTATATAGAAGGGGAAGGAAATCTGGATTTAAAGAATAATATTCATGTCTAATTTATTCCATACAGATCTTAGCCTGAGATAATAGAAAAGATCTGTTATTGAGGAAGACTCATAAAAAGGAATTTATTACTAATCTTCAGATAAATAGAAACAATACACCAAATGTGTTCCTCAACTAGCAAAGCCATTTTTAAATAGTTCTAAGAGATATATGTATGTATGCATGTGTGATATTTTTATTTATTTATTTGCTGTACTGGGAATTGAACCCAGGGCTTTTCCAATGAGCTATATCTCCAGCATTTTCTATTATTTTATCTCAAGACAGGGCCTTGCTAAGTTGGAGCCCAGGCTGAGCTCCAACTCGGGATCCTCCTGCCACAGCCTCTAGAGTACTGGGGTGATAGGTGTGTGTCTCTACATCTGACTCCTATTGGATATTTTTCAAATATTTTGTGTTCTTCTCCTGCTCATTGATTCAGATTCAGATTCAGATTCAACTCATATTCACTGCTTTGTTCTGGGCCCCTGCTAAATGCTGTTATCCCCTCTTTTAATTTTTGCTTAAACTCCAAAATATGTCACCACTCTCATGTAAAGCCTTACAGAACTCTAGGGCTTACCCAAGGTCCCATGTAAGGTGAGCAAGAAGCTAGACTACTGGTGCTCTGTGTCAAGTCTTTTTGGACACCACAGTCTGTGTTTCTTCCAGTGATTCTACAGTCCCCATTTATCAGAGTCAATGACCAGCATCAACATTTAGATATAAATGCATTAGGGTAGGGGGTGGGTAAAAGGATTCTTCCAGTGTTAATTTTGTTAACAAAGAGTTAAACACTTTGCACAGGAGTAATAGAGAAAAAAACAACCCACAGTTTATGAGGCATGGTATAAAACCATCTGTTCTTTCCCATGCTGATGTGTGCATGCACATGTGTTTGATCTCTGTAGTAAACGCAAGCTTGCTGCATTGCAGAAAGTATGAAATGTGAAACAGCAAATTGGAATTGCAGAGCGTATATATGTGATCTGCTTCCTGCCCCTGGAATTTAATTTACTCCTTAAAATCTCTGTGTAGCATATGTTCCAAGGCAGCTATGTTTTGAAGGAGGCACTGTCACACTAGCATATCAGAAGGCCACAGGGCCATGTGGGAGCTAAAGATAAGTGTTCCTTTTGCACAGCCTATTTTAATCAATATGCCATTTGCTAACCTCACGTGAAATACCCTTTTGGCAAATAGAGGTTCTTTAGGAAACATAGAGAGGAAACCTACCGATATTTTTAACATATGGCTAAAATAGAAATGTCAAGTGAATTATTAAAGAGCATAAGTCAAGACACATTGCCTTAATAATAAAGCTAATTTCACTTTTGTGTATTCCTTTTTTGGGGCTATCTCTGTCTTTAGAGTGTACCACTTTATGTCTCCTTTGATAAAGGAAAGCTTGCAAGAGTTAGAGTTCCTAATCTTCTACTTTATTTTGCAAGACTGACCTTTGGCAACACGATGGCATGGTATTTGTCCTTTTATAATTTCTCCATGATTTTTTTTAAAGAACTTTATTTATGTGTGTGTGTGTGTGTGTGTGTGTGTGGCCAGCTCAGCCCACCAGGGGGCGGGGCTGGCTGGCATGTGGTGCTGGGGGATTGAACCGTGGTCCCTGTGCTTTGCGAAGCTTGTTCTAAGTAGGTGCTTTAGACCACTGCGCCATCTCACCAGCCCTCTCGGTGATGTTTTGAATGTTCAGCCATATGGAGAACAAAGCAAGAATGCTAAGGAAGAAACATCTCTGTCTAGCTTTGTATTTCCTCAGTCATTTCTGGTGCAAAAGGAAGATCCCAGAGTCTGCTTCCTGACTATGCATTTTCAGTTTCTTAAGCAAGTGCAACAGGGAGGAAAATGACTAAGCTTTATTTTCTATGATGAATTATTATCAGTATATTACTCATATCACAGTTCAATGTCTAGCTTTTACATTTCAAATCAAGCCCTCTTTTCTCTTTTAAAAAGGTCATACTAAAATGTGTACATCCACCACTGCCTATAAATGTAATACAAATGGAAGATGTACCATATATATATGGTATATGCCATATATACATATGTATGTATATGTATATTTGAAGTATTAACCTATGGTAGAAGGATAGGTCAATACTTCAAAAATTGTTTTTCTTAGAACATTCAAGAAGACAAAAATGACTTCATGAAGGCTTCACGATAGACATAAGCTGGAGGATTGGCCACATTTCGTATTCACTTCGCCTTTCTCAGGTACCTACCATAACTTTTTCTTTGTTTTCCTTCAGTCTTTGTTCACATTCTCCTTCCTTACTTCCCCCTTCCCCTGTTTCCTTTTATCTGGTTATGATTCTAATGTGGTGAGAAAACTAAGGTTACAGCAACAACGTCTCAGCGTTCTGATGATGTCAGAGGATAGACAGTTCCTTTGGGTTTTTTGGTTCTCTGATGACTAATTTCTTCCCCAAGAACGAACTGTTTATCTGTGAAGCAAATTAGCTCTTCTCCAGCACAGTAATCATGTCAGCCTTAGGGGGTGAGAGGGTCATGAAGTGATTCTTGTAGATTAAAACGAGATTGACTACTTGCTGGAGCTCTGGGGCATCATCCCAGAGCAGGAAGAAGAGCTTACTAGTCAAGGTGAGAGCATGCAGAGAGCTTGCCAGGGCTTTCAAGGCTTTCTGCAAGCCTGCCCCAAACTGTTTTTTCAAACTTGTCTCCTAAACTCTTCCATATCTTATCTTGCTCTGTATGTATGTACACACACACACACACACACACACACACACACACTGCTTCTTCTGTTAGGGAAAGGATAGTAGTCTGTTAAAGTCAAGCCCTTGGCCCATCCCTTCCTTTGTTTTTCTCGAGTGGCTCATTTTGTTCCCTGCCTCCCTTTGGACCTGAATACCTATAGATTACCCCGTGTCACGAAAGAGCTACTCTCTGTAATAAAAACATGCTGGTCCTGAAATCAGGTGTGATATCCATAGTAGGCTTTGAGAAAATATAATGTGCATTCTGAAAGTGTTCTCCAGCTTTCCTAAAAGAACTAATAATCGCCTCTGTAATCCAACAACATTTTTTTGGGGGGGTACCAGGAATTGAACTCAAGACTGTGAGCAGCCCTCCAACAACACTTCTCTGCTTTAGTTCTCATCACATGACATGCATCTCTTTATGGTCACTTCTAAGTGTGTGTATTTTCCTAACATCTAGAAATTTCCTGAATATTGTAAGAATTCTGTACATTCTTTGTGGTTGCTGTTGTTAAAAAATACCACATGCATGTGAGTCTCGGTAAAGAAGCTGAAAGCAAACAGGGAGTATGGCTGAGTTGGTCTGGGAAAGAGCCAAAAACTACAGAGAGCATACTTAGAGAAGAGTGATGAAAATAAAATTTAACTTTCCTGGTTTGAGCATCTCCCCTAGAGAAGCCTATTTTCATTGGTTCTTCCACATGCTGATTAGCCCTCAATCTATTTGGTTTTTATCCTGCAACTATTAGTGTTGTTGAACTCCAATTCAGTATTTTAGAACTTCTTTTAAATTTTACACACACACACACACACACACACACACACACACAGAGTTTATACCTCAAATGCCAAAATATCCACTGTTAGCTTTCCATTGCTATCCCAGAGTAGTTATGGTAATAAATTTAAAGAGAGGAAATCCTATTTTGCTCATGGTTTCAGAGGCGTCAGTCCATGGCTGATGGGCTCTGCTGCCTTTGGCCTGTGACAGGGCAGAGCATTGTAGTAAGTAGTATAGCACTTGTTGCTCACTTTCTGGAAGCTCAGAAGCAAAGACAAAGGAAATAGAGGGCCCAGGGTTCCCATATACCCTTCAAGTGCGTGCCTCCAACGATGTAAGATCACCCACTCGCTAAGCCTTATCTCTTGAAATTTCTATCACCTTCCAATAGTACTAAGCTGAGGACCTGGGACTATGGGGACACTAAAGATTTAAGCTATAGCCTCTACTAAGTTTCATCTAACTTTATAATGCTGTTAATTGTAGTTCTATTTGTATCCTCTTGACAAAAACCAACAACTGAATAGCTTATATTATTCTCATTTCCTCCTCCAGCCTTTTCCAGGAAGTTTCAATTTAATAGCATCAGAACATTTTCTAATCCCAGTCTCAGTGAGACTTTTCATCTCATGTTATGGTCTCTAAAACTTTTAAACATCAAACAAAACTCCCAAGTTCAATTCTGTATTCTGGCACATGTCTGTAGTCATAGCACTGTGAGAGGTTGAGGAAGAAAGATTATAAGTTCAGGTCCTGCCTGGACAACTTAGTAACTTAGTGAGACTTTGAAAATAAAAATAAAAATGGCTAGGTGTGTAGCTTCGTGTAAAAGCCCTGTATCCAATCACCAGTACAGCATAAAGAAAGTACATAGATGTATTTTTCTTAACCTTCATTTTCTAGTAATGTATTTAACTGCATTTACAGTAAAGTAATAAATCACACTTTAAATAAAATGTATTATAAGTGATAACTTGTAAGATGTTTGTGGGAGTTGTGCAAGGAATCTGAGCTATATCCCTGGCCCCTAAAAAACAGGGAGAGCTTCATAAATTTGAGGGTTATCCTTGCACAGGGACCATGCTGACTGACATCTGTGTTGTTCCACCTTTAGTGTATGTACTGCTCCAGCAAGCACATAACTTGTAGTTGTAAGATGAAAGAACTTTGAAATAAACATTGAAAGTATTATGAGTTGGGACAGTCCTGCTTCAAGGTTGTATATGGTGAGATTTTTGGACTTATGTGCAAACATGAGAAGCATAGAATTCTTTATCCTATTGTTAAAATATAATCTAATTTTTAAATGTTCTTTATCATATTATGTAGGGACTTAAGGTTCAACATATCAATACTTGATGAAAAATACCTGTTCCTTATTATGCCTAAGATGTTTGAAATGCAGTGAGATAGTGAGGTTAAGCTTGATAGCGTAAATCGTTTGATAATAACAATAAGCTTGTCTTCTGGATGGTTAACAACCTAAGTTTGCAGACCAAAATTAGAGAAAAAGGAGGGCTACAAGGAAAGCCAACATTTTGGCCCTAGCCTTCTAAGGTCAATTAAGACTCAGGACATATGAGAACTTGTACTGTAACGTCATGTACCTCGGTAGTGTCCCAAATTTTCTGATCAAGAAGATAATGGGGCCAAAGAGGAAAGTGATCGATGACATAGAGTGTGCCTAAGGAGAGTCACATGGGTAGAAGACACTCTCTCAGGCTTTCACAGAGAGCACATAGGCCAAGCATTGGCCGTGACTCATCCACATGGCTGACACTGACAAAGGTTCTACAATCTGAGGTACAGGATCTCAAGATAAATCCTGAGGGCATTTCACTGACCTTCTCAAACCAAAAAGCTACAACTCTTGTTGCATAGGTTCTGCTTTACCTTGGTCTTAACCATCCAGTAGAAAAGTATGAAGACAAAATATAGGAAGTAAAGCCATGTTGTTATGTTGAGCTGTGGGGGACTCAGGTCAATAATTTCTGACATTGCCAGTTAAACAGAAGACCCAATGATATTATGGGCTTCTGTACTCTTTTAGAATATTTTGCTGAGTTTACACACCTATAATATTCAACAACGGAACTTAAAAAAAATTGGGGTATAACTATGAATGTCCATTTTGTATCTGTGTATTCAAAGTGGTTGGGATAGATATATAGTTGCATTCTCTTAATGAATAGAATGATTTTTTCTAATGGTGTTTGTAAGTAGGATCACAAGTCTGCATCTTGTACAGCAATTAACCACTGAGAAGAATGTATGCAGTGTATTATTTGTTGAAACTGTACTTTCAATTTGATTTGAAACTGTCTCATTGCTATATGTTTATCAATAAAACTTTGAAAAGAAAAAAAAATAAAAATAAATAAATAAAAAATAAATAAAAAAATAAAAAAGAAAGTATTATGAGTTAAACCCTACTTTTCATCCTTCTCTTCCTATTTTCCTTTCTTTTAATAAATATTTGGTGTTTTTTTAAAAACACCATATGCATTTGACACTGTCAACCCTGATGACCTGTAGCCTTTGAGACTCAAGCTATTTTACATGGCAAAAGAAGCTTCTTGGCTCAGTGATGCCAAATACTTGTTGTAAGTTCTTTGCCTACTAGAGAAAGAAATGTTCCATCATTATTGAAATGTAACCATTTCATCATCATTGAAATGTTTTAACATGTAACTTGGTATCAGATGTTTATTTTATTAATTTCTGACTATGACCATAACGCTTTACTGAGAGAGTCCATGCCCAATGAAGTTTACATCCTAGGTTACACATTTTTATTTTATTTTGTTTTGTTTTATTTTATTTTTCTAGCAATGATTTTATTATCAAATGCCAGTAACAAAAAAAGTCATTGCTCTTAAAAGATGCCATCACACTATATAGGCACATAATGAACAATCATGCACTTATTACTATGGTGTATCTGTTACAAAACATTGGTCACTTTTCGTATCATCTTCTGCAATATGTCCTCATGTCATTTCTCAAGTCCTTCATGCAATCCATAAGGTCCAATCCTGGTTCATCTCATCGACTACACCTCCTACTTGGTCTCTGTCTGGCTGATAGTGCAGTGGCCACATGGATTTCCTTACTGGGCTGGTTCCTAGTTTTCAGTTGCTGTCCCCCAGTCCAGAAGAGTTTCTGAGACATCTCTATGACACACTGTAGGCATTTAAGAAATATTTTTTGAGTGAATAAGGATTAAATTAAAAAGATTTGCATTAAGAAACAAAATGCTTCAGTTTCACATTCAAATTATGCCCCCATTTCAGCTATACAATCTCCTTATGTACAAATAATATTTAGAAACTGTTCTTACTATAGTAAATTCCTGGCAAGGTTAATAATACATATTTAATAATTCGTGGCATCAGATGAGGACCAGAGCTACAATACAACCAATTCACTTTAACTTGAATAAAATGGTTTGCAGTCACTAGTCTTTCCAGTATAGCCCTCTTTGTGTGACCAATTCTAAATGTAGCAAATGAAAATCAGAAGAGCTTTGTCCTAAAGAAGGATCCTTTTGTCTTTTTTTTGTGTGTGAATTGAATAATCTCAAAAGCACATCCCCACATACATCTGTGTTTTTTTAACTTAAAAAAAAATTTTATTAATTTTAATGAGAAAGAAATACCAATGAGATAGTTTCAAAACAGGTTAGTAGGACAGTTACAATAATTACTACATTGCATAGTGTTATCTTCGTAATAGTTATTTAGAGTATATGATGCAGACATGATATCTTCTCTAGACAATATTATCCAAATTTTTCTTCTCATTGACCTAAGAGAAAGTAGCTAATTATGAACTTTTTTTCCCATAATTTTATTGAGAAACAAAGAGCAATGAGACAGTTTCAAACCAAATTGGTAGGACGGTTTCAATAATTAACACATTGCATATATTCTTCCTAGAGGTTAATTACTGTACAAGATGAGGACATGATATCCCATTTACAAACACTCTTAGAACAAATCCCTCTATTCATTAAGAGGATGTAACTATATATCTATCCTAACCATTTTGAATACACAGATACAAAATGGACATTCATCTGTATCCCCTTTTTTGGTTAAGTTCTGTTATTTGAATATTATAGGTGTTTTAACTCAGCACAGTATTCTAAGAGTCCAGTAGTCCATAATAGTATTGGGTTTTCTGCTTGACTGGCAATGTCAGAAATTGTTGACCTGAGTCCCCTACAGCTCAACATAACAGCATGGCTATTACTTCTTATACTTCATTTTTATACTTTTCTGCTGGATGGTTAAGACCAAGGTAAAGCAGGACCTATGCAACAAGAGTTGTAACTTTTGGGTCTGATAAGGTCAGTGAAAACCCCTCAGGATTTATCCTGAGATCTTGTACCTCTGATTGTAGATCCTTTGTCAGTGTCAGTCATGTGGATGAGTGACGGCCATTGCTTGGCCAATGTGCTCTCTGTGAAAGCCTGAGAGGATGTTTTCTCTCCATGTGACTCTCCTCAGTCACACTCTACATCATCGATCACTTTCCTATTTGGCCCCATAATCTCCTTGATCAGAAAATATGGGATACTACCGAGTTACATGATGTTACAGTATAAGTTCTCATATATCCTGAGTCTTAATTGACCTTGAAAGACTAGGGCCAAAACGTTGGCTTTCCTTGCAGCCTTCTTTTTTCTCTAATTTTGGTCTGCAAACTTAGGTTGTTAACCCTCCAAAAGAGAGGCTTATTGTTATTACCATACAACCTAGGCTGTTAAGCTTAACCTCACTATCTGTCTGAATATCAAACATCTTAGGCATAACATGGAACAGGTATTTTTCATCAAGTATTCATATGTTGAACTTTAAGTCTCTACAGAATATGATGAAAAAACATTTAAAAATTAGAATATATTTTTAAAAATAGGCATAAAGAATTATATAATTCTTATGTTTACATGTAAGTCCAAAAATCTGACCATATACAACTTTGAAGCAGGACAGACCCACAACATTCCTTTTCCTGTCTCCTGCCTTGATTCACCGTATTTTGAAATGTGAAATAACATATTTTGCCTTTCTTTTTGAACAATCATCTACCTGAGAGACAGCACAGCAGCAACTGGCATGTCATGACAAGCAGCCCATATTCAGAAGACCAGAATAACAGGCACTCCAAGCATGAAACTACTATTACAGATTACCATCTTCAGTGCAGTTGCTTAGTTCACAGGTGTCAGCATATATAGTTAGTCAGAGTGAGAATCTTTCTGATTCACTGCTAGACTCAGAAACCTTCTGGAGATTCTCAGGATCATTGCCTTGCCCATCTTCTACATATAACTGTATGGCTTGTCACTGTCATGTTTCCTAGCTTTTCTTCTTTCCCTCTCTTAATTAGTTAGTTCTCGAGTTCCTGCTTTCCTTTTACTTGTATTATACCTTTCTATTTTTATTTCTTCTTTTGAGTTCTTATACTAGGGAAACTATATGATATTTACACATGTGTGTCTGTACAGATTTTTAAATACAAATATGAAATCTTCACTTGGGTGTGGAATAACAAAAAAAGGAGATTGGAAAAAAAGAGTAGAGTATATAAGAAAAAGGAGATTGGTGAAAAGAACTTTTCTAATATCTTCCCCTTTATTTTTTCCAAGTGAAAAACTTTGAATGAAATAATTATATCTTGATGGGATAAAAACATGATGATCTCCAATCAATCACAATGAAAAGTTTGTGCTGATGTAATTATCATTAGCTTCCTGCTTTGTCAATAATTGAGTTTGATTTATTTCTACTCAATAAATATGGATACTACACATATTATGCATCTGTGTTAGGCTTGTGGAATGCAAAGCTGAAATAAAAGATGAGACTTTGGCCTCCAAGAGTTTATTTGATGTGAGGAGGAAGTCAAAGCTGATAAATTAGATACTAACATTGTTATTGTGAAAACAATTATAACATCTAGTATACTATTCATGACATCTATATAATGTAAATAGATATTGTTATTGTCATTGTTATATTCATATTTTTAATTCCAAAAATGATTTGCATGATATATTTCACTTCATCACCCTAAAATTGATATGTGAACCATCAATTAAAGTGGTAACAGAACTTCAACATTAAACAAAAT